CAACTCTCTCCGAGGGTCCTTGAGTTGCGTGAAATTTCTAGGATCGGCAAAATGCAAGAAAATATGTAATGCATGATGACTTAATGTATAACATTCCAAATTGAAAATTTGGGATGTTACACGGTGCTTCCGTCCGTGCCATCTAGGCGCATCTTGCCTCTGCTGTCTTGACCTCGTGGTGGTGTTCGCAGCAAGACGGCATGGATGGGTGCAAGACCGTGGTGGCGCATGCTAGCGGGTGGCAAGATGGTGGATTGGCTTTGTTCTAGTAGGTGTCGGGACATGGGGGTACGGGAGAAATCCCTGTCGGTTCTTTCGGCTCCGACGTGGTGACACCGGTGGGTGTCGCCATTCCTTCCTGAAGGGCGTCGGTGCTACCCGCCCCCCGCTCTCCGTCCGCGTGCCGGGGAAAACCTAGGACTTGTCCGGACAGCAGCGTCATTGGTGTCGCATTCCTTCTTGGAGGTGTTGTTTGGTATGCGGTGGTCCGGTGTGATGGCGAGTGGTGGGACGTAGACGGGGGGAGGGGGTGGGGGGGCGCAGCGGGGGCGGACCATTCGTGCTTGTCGAGTTGCCGCTGTTGGCATTTTTGTCTTCTTCTTTTTCCTTTGGACTTGATGTGTCGTTCGCCCCGGCAGTTACCTTGTGATCGGCGTTCGTGCTTTATAATATAAAGCGGGGGAAATCCTATTTTGTAATAACTAGGAACCACCCCAGTGTACAAAGCATGCCTGTGAGAAGAAAAGCTAACCAAGCAATGTTATTCCTTCTTATAAATAGCAATTGAACAATGGCACAACCAGAGCTCTATAAAGATGAGGGGCATTACAATACAATTCTCCACATACCAAACATTCACCAAATAAACCAACCTAGTTTTGCTAATCGAAGCACATCTTTTTGGTGGTATCGAAAAGCTCTAGATAGGGAAAACAAAGGAGCTAGCTAGTGGCATGGATAAGAGGTGAGAAAAGAGGAGCTGAAATAGTAAACTAAAACCATTTGGGAGTAGGAGGCATCAGGTAATGGAGGACTATTCATCAATGAGAACCGTCGCGTATTATCCACGATCTCCCGGAATCCTCCAACTCCAAATTCTGCGGGCAAGAAAGCACCTGCGTGTTGGCCTCCTAAGAATTTAGGAGGCGAATCAGATCAACCGTGAGCACCTCCTTAGTATCAGGCATGACTTGCCGGCGCTGTAGAACTCTGGTCGGATTGGACGCCCCAAAGGAGCGAAGTTGGCTATCTCACCGACCGACCAGCTGGTGAACAACAAGGCATCGTACACGGCCGAGCGCTAAAGCTCGCCTATTGTGTGTGAGCTGCAAGTCTAGCTCGCCTACAGATCAGGGCGGGCACATTGGCTGGCCCAACACGTTGTTCTTTGCACTAATTGTTGTGTGTGCCTCTCTTTTTATTTTCTCTCGGGCTGTACCAGTGTTGCTGGCCGTGTTCTTTCTCTGTTCTTTTAGGAAAAATACATGATATATTTTAAAGATACATGAACACGTCTTTTAAAAATGTGATTTTTGTAAGTACTTTGTGTTAGTTTTTATAACTATTCAACGTGGTTTGAAGAATGTTTGTGGAATGTAAATTAATGTTCACGAAGTTGCAAAAAAGGTTTGTTCAATTAAAAAATTGGTGAAATTATAATCTTTTTACACATTTAAAATATGTTCATGGCATTATTAAATAAGTTCATGAATATTTAAAAGCTTGAAATTGTAATTTGCGAGAAGTGTTTTACCATTCAGAAAATTGCTCACCACATTTAGAAAATGTTACACATTTTAAGATTTATTCATGGTATTTTATATTTTCTTCATTATATGTAAACCAAATTCACGCATTTTTTAAAAAATGCTCTTAAAATGAAAAATAAATGATCACGCCATTTAAAAAAGGTTAATAATTAAATAAGGTTCACATGTTGAATTTTTTTTATGAAAATGTTAAATTTTGTTCACACAATTGCTGGAAAACGTTCATGACACATGTAAAAAAATGTCCTTGTAGAACTAGGAGGAAAATAGTTTGTGAATTTGGAAAAAAAAGGTAGACAAAAATAATTAAAAAAAGAAAAACAAGGAAAATCCGGTAGAGAAAATCATAGAAAAAAATAAAATAATAAAAACCGGATGGAACAAATGGTGTTATATAGGTGAGAGCTTGATCGATCTCGTAATAAGTGATACGGATCTACTGTCCAATGCGTAACCCGCTGTATAATGAGAAATCACACACGATCTATAGCTCACCAGTAAAATGAAGGCACAACCAGAGCTCCATAAAGACGAGTATAACTACCACATATTTCTCCATATCCTCGACCAAACATTCACGATAAAATTCACCAAGTTCTGCTAATCGGGACACATTTTTTGCTAGTATTGAAATGCTGTAAAGCTATAGATATAGGAAAAACAAAGAAGCTAGCGAGAGCCATGGATACGAAGTGGGTAAGGAAGAAAATAAATTGTGAAAGTAAAAGCATTTGGGAGTAGGAGGCATCAGGTAAATGAGAACCATTAATCCATGAGAACCATGGCGTACCCTCAATCCCCCGAAAAGTTCCAACACAAGATTTCGGGGACAAGGCTGCATGAATCAGCACAAGGCTGCATGATTCAAGGGATTTTTAAGTTCTGGTCAACACCCACTTCTGTTTCCGGTTCTGCTTTGTATTCACTCCGTGTCCGTTTCCGATAGTATCTGTTTTCGTATTCATTTCCGCGGTTTTTGTATTCGTTTCTGCTTCTGCAAAAATATATTAAAAGAAATGGGGTAGCACTCAGTTGCACCAGTTTCCGCTCCGTTATCATCCCTAGATGTGTAAATGAATTTCATGAAATAAAAACGTGTACATGAATTCCCATACAATGAAGATGTGTACATGAAGGACAAAATATGCACCATGTGAGATTTTTTTTTTCTAAAAAGGGATGCTTAGGTGATGGACCCGTGTGTTTTTCCTTTTCAAAAAGGGATGCGTACATGAATGGCACACAATATGCACCACGTGAGATCTATATTTTTTTCTTTGTAAAGGAATGTGTACATGAAGGACACAATGCACCACTTGATATCTAATTTTCTTTCTAGAAAAAGGAGGCGTACATGAAGGACACAATATGCGCCACGTGAGATTTTTTTTAAAGGATGCTTACCTTATGGACACGGTATGCACCCGTGTTTGTTTTTGTTTTCAAAAAGGGACGCGTACATGAACGGCACACAATATGCACCACGTGAGATCTATTTTCTTTCCTTGTAAAGGAATGCACACATGAAGGCCACAATGCACCACGTGATATCTAATTTTTCTTCCTAGAAAAAGGAGGCGTACATGAAGAACACAATATGCACCACGTGAGGTATTTCTTTTTTAAAGGGATGCTTACGTGATGGACACAGTATGCACCCATGTATTTTTTTTGTTTTCAAAAAGGGATGCGTACATGAATGGCACACAATATGCACCACGTGAGATCTATTTTTTGTTTCAATGTGTACATGAAGGACACAATATACCACGTGATATCTAATTTTTCCTTCTAGAAAAAGGAGACGTACATGAAGGGCACAATGCAGCAGAGATCTAAATTTGTAAGAAAAAAAATAAAACCTAGCCTGTACAATTAAAAGAGATATGGTCCACCATGTTACGAAGATCTAACGGTTATAATTAATAAACTCGGATAAGATGGAGAATGGCGTTTTGGAGGCCGAGCTCCATGGAGGCCTTTATTTTCGAAAAAAATTCAAATTTAAATTTTTATGTTATAAAAAATTCTGAAAAAAGTATGTGTGTATGTAAGGGTGTAACCCACATGTGTGTAAAATTTCATAATGAAATGCATTGAAATGTGACCTGTATAAAAAAGACAAATTCATGGCCTGGGAGGATGAATAGTATCATGTGTTAAACAGCCCCAGAATTGTCTTTTTTGCAAAGCCCTCATTTCAAAGTATTTTGCCCTGAAAATTTACGCACATATGTCTTATGCCTTCATGTATATCTGTACTTTTTTCAGAATTTTTTGAAATGTACAAATATGAAATTTGATGAATTTGAATTTTGAATCTGGAGGCCTCTAGTGAGCTCGGTCACCAAAGGCAATTTCCGGACAAGATGTTTCTAAATAATGGCCGGATGCTTCTGATTATTGTGAGATTTTCTAGATAATCCTCTTTTTTTCTAGTTAACCCATCAGTTACTTTTTATGTATAAAGATAGATAGATACGTGTGGAGAAAATCCGCCCGCTTTTATGCTGTTATATGCTGTTATTATGTGATTAACACTGGCCGGATAATAGAACGTGCGAACAGCATGGCAGCAAACCTCCTCCACTCATTCCTTCCCAACCACTACCGGCAAGACTGAGACCATAATACTTTTCCGCTTCTTCCTTTCCCCGTCATCACGATACACTCACGGACAGTTTTCTACGGATTGATCCAACGGAAAGCTATCCCACCAATCACTCCCCCATGTGATTTCCACTGATGTGCCACTCTCCCACCAAATCTCCTACTATAAAGTGACACATTCGTCCCTAACAATACCTCCGTGAAATATGTCCGCAAGTGTAGCAATCAGTGGGACGGACTCGCACCTCAACCTTCGTCTTCTCCTGCCATCCGACGTAGTACTGGCCAGCCGCTTCCACCACCGCCGGCGAACATCCAGTAGCTACATCTTCCCCGGCCCAGCACATCTTCTTCAAGCACACGTTGCAGCTCTCAGGTAATCAAATCTCTCAATACTCAGCCCACCTTTCTTCCAACGTCATGTTCCAACTTCCTATTAAAGGTTGATCTCCCTGCACTTTTGCTCTAAGATAGTACGAAAGGAATTCCAACATGTTCTCCAACTCACCCCGCAAAAAAAGCATGTTATCCAACTCGAATGCTCTGACCTATATCGTGCCCAAACAGAAGGTACCTCTCAAGCATAACTAGGCGACACGAAGAATAGTTGGCCAGCAAGACATGGCCGGAATAATGGTGAGCGCTTATACTGGAGCGGTGAACTCCCTCCTGGGTAAGGTGACCACCATCATGGGAGAGGAGTTCGCCAAGCTGAAAAACCTGCGAAAAGAGGTGAAGTTCATCCGTGATGAGCTTGGCAGTATGAAGGATGCTCTCGAGAGACTTGCGTATGTGGACCAGCTAGATCCACAGACCAAGAGTTGGAGAAACACACTGAGGGAGTTGTCTTATGACATCGAGGACATCATCGATGACTTCATGCAAAACGTTGGGGACAAATGCAAGAACTCCGGGTTTGTCCGCAAGACCATTCGACGTCTCAAAACTTTAAGAGCTCGGCACCAGATTTCTGGACAGATTGGAGAGATCAAGAAACTTGTGCTAGAGGTAAGGGACCGCCACAAAAGATATGCCCTTGATAAGATTATCCCCCCATCAAGTAATGTTGTTGCCATTGACCCACGAGTAAAAGCACTCTATGAAAAGGCGGCTAACCTTGTTGGCATGGAGGGGCCAAAGAATGAACTTGTAGATTGGCTAATTGATGAGGAGAAGCAGTTGAAGGTAGTATCAATTGTGGGATTTGGAGGTCTAGGGAAAACAACACTTGCCAATGAGGTATACCATAGGCTGAAGGGAGAATTTGACATTGGTGCATTCGTGCCAGTGTCTCAAAAACCTAACATTCCACATCTTCTCCGTAGTTTACTATCCCAACTTGGGGTAGAGCCATCTATTCATGCCTGCGAGTCACATCTTATTGACAAGCTCAGAGAAGTTCTAAAGAGTAAGAGGTACATATTCTTGATCCGTGTATTATTGTTTGTCATTGCCTATGATAGCTAGATTTCTTAAGTGTACTTATTGTACGTGCCTTGTTCAATCTCAAAAAGATAATAAAAATATATTGTGCAAGTAAAAACTGGGAAGAAAATCATTAGATAATCCTAATAAACAGTAAGAAGTAAATTTTGTTAAAAATATGCATCTAATAATTGCACTTAATAACATGTACAATAAAATCAGCTTATATTTGAGTTGTTTACGAAGTTTCTCGTCGGTGAGCAACATTTCTTAAACAAAAGGTGTCAAATATTTTTGGTTCATGTATTTATATTTTTCTATAAATTTAATGTATGACCAATCACCACCCAATTGATGTGTTCGTTCTGCTATTCAGCCACAACTAATCTTTGATTGAAGGAAGCTAAATATCTCTGGTTCAACCTCGTAAATTAGTTTTTGATAATTTTTTGCACTTATCTTAACTTTATGCTGAATGTTTGGCAGGTACTTGATAATAATTGATGATCTGTGGGATGTAACATCCTGGGAAAATATTAAATGTGCTTTCACAGAAAATGATCTTGGCAGCAGAGTGATAGTAACCACAAGAAGTAAACAAGTTGCTATGGCATGTTGCCCCACTAGCCATGATCACATTTGTCGTGATCACATTTTGCAAATGAAGTCCCTTAGCAATGAAGACTCAAGAAGGCTATTTTTTGGCAGGATATTTGGCTCAGAAGATGCTTGCCCTGATCAGCTCAGAGATGTTTCGTTTGAAATTCTCAAAAAATGTGATGGCTTGCCCCTTGCAATTATTAGCATAGCAGGCTTGCTAGCAAGTGAAGGTCCCAAAAAAGAGGAGTGGGAACATGTACGGAAATCTTTGGGCTCAATGTATGGGGCAAAACTCACACTGGATAGGATGAGAGAAATCTTGAACCTCAGCTACAAAGACCTTCCATGTCATCTGAAGACATGCTTGTTATATGTTGGTATGTATCCGGAGGACTACACAATAAAGAGGTCAGATCTGGAACGCCAATGGATGGCGGAAGGTTTTGTTACTAAAGAAAATGGACAAGACATGGAGAAAATTGCTAGAAACTATTTCAATGAGCTTGTCAATAGGAGCCTTGTTCAACCCGTAAGATTTGACGGCAGTGGGTCGGTGACAGAATGCAAAGTACACGATATGATGCTCGATCTTATCCTGTGTAAGTGTGCAGAAGAGAATTTTCTCACTGTAGTGGATGGTTCGCAAGACAATACAACACAGAAATACAAGGTCCGTCGGCTGTCTGTTCGCTTGAATGGTGCAGCTAATGCAACATTATTACAGGGGAAAATTAGGTTGTCACAGGTTCGGTCCGTTATGATCTTTGGATGGTCTAATATTATACCTCCTCTGTCAAATTTCAAATTCCTCCGAGTTCTTTTTGTCGAGGATTACAGGACAATCGACCTCACTGGGATGAGCGAACTATATCAGCTAAGATATATACAGATTGATGGCACTCGTGATTATGTACACCTACCAACACAGATTGGAGGGCTCCAACAATTAGAAACATTTGATATACGCCGTTGTGCTAGTGTTCCATCAAATGTAGTTCATTTGCCACGCCTGTTACATCTCCGTATTGAACATGATAGAGGGCTGCCTGATGGGATTGGCAAAATGAAATACCTGAGATCTCTTGATGGGTTTAATTTATCAGTAAACTCACTAGACAACTTCATTGGCCTTGGAGAGCTGACCAATATAAGAGATCTAACTCTCACCGGAAACATGGTGAGACATACGGATGTTCTATGCTCTTCTTTGAGAAAACTTTGTAGCCTCGAGTTCCTGTACATATGTACCGAAGGATGCATGGATGGCTTGTCTCCTCCCTGCAGCCTTCAAATCCTCGCCACAAGCTGGTTACCATGGGGTTGTTGGTTTTCCAGGGTCCCTAACTGGATGAGGGAACTTCATAACCTGCGTGTGTTGCGATTCAAAGTTGATGAGCTGCTCACGGAGGATGTTGATATTGTTGGGGAGTTGCCATCCCTCACAGACCTTATTTTATATGTACGAAGACCCCAAAATGAAATGATTGCTGTCAATGGAACAGGAGCATTCCCTGTTCTCAAACGCTTTCGACTCACCATCAGTAGCTCATCATGCCTGACATTTCAGTCTGGGGCAATGCCCATGCTCCAGGGACTCTATTTAACTTTCAGCGTCAAAGGATGGAAGCAGAACGGGGCTGGACCAGCCGGCATCGAGCACTTGCCTGCACTTGAAGAGGTGTCTGCAGAAATCCTCTACAATGGTACTACAGAATCTGAAAAATGCAGCGCTGAATCCGCCTTTAGGAATGCTGTCGACAGGCATCCCAACAATCCTCGCATCGTAAGTCTATTATTGTGATTATGATTTTTTTTTCTTGACAACAAACTTCTTATTCAACTCCGTGCAAGTTTCTGCCACCAGTATCATATACCCTCTATCCCTCAAGTTTGTTTTGGAGAACCTCCTCTAGCCGGCCATGATACACCCTCTGTTACTAGTTTCATTATGATAGAGGGCTTTTTCTGCAGTATTGCGCATGGAGATTTCAGAACTGAGTTGCTGGATATTTAGCGGTAGCCTGATTTCCACAAAAAATTATGTGAAATTTAATTTTTATTGGTAGGATTTCCCGTTATGGAAGGAAACTAAATAGGGTTATGCTCAAGATCACATTTCTGGTCTAACTTTTAACAGAAGACTAGTCGTCAACCCGTGCATTCGCACGGGCTTGTCTTTCGAATTTTGCATAACATAATTATTCTTGTTTAACAGAAGATGTTACAATTCAAATAGTTTGAAGAAATGTTATTTAAATGGTCACAAGGAATAATAATGAGTTGTATATTTTACTAATCAGGTATTCAGCATCAAATTTTTTGTTTGATTGCATTGTCGCTAATACAGCATATATATATAAACTGTATATGCGGTGCTATTCTGTCAAGGTATTCTCTTCTAGCTTTTGTGATGTATAACTTTAGCTGTTGATTTTTGAGATAGCTTTCCGCATGACTCTGTGATAAACGGCTATTTACTACTCCTAGCCGGACTCTTTGCTTAACATCACCACATGCAAAGATATGACTAGACCACCTAGCAATCTCAACTTTAAACTTGTTTGGATTAAGCTAACAATTCTTTGATTTCTCGTGGAAACTTTTTCATTGTTACATTAACGTGAGGACGTAACAAGCATGTGGCCGTGTGTTGAACTCCCTCACCTGTGTAATTTCAGACTATTGACCTGTTTGGATGATATTGGCTTGCAGGCTATGAAATATGGATGCCAATATCGGTTAACTGGGATAGGTTTGTGAAGACTGAACAACGGAATGCTGCATTCAGATGGAGATGGACTGATGTTTCTCCCAACTGTAAGATCGAGCTACGCGTCTTCACTTCCTGTGCCACCCAATCCCATTTACCCTTTGTGAACATTCAGTTCATTATCTCAGTGTTGCGGTCTGTTACCTCTCTAAGATGATGATCACGCTTTGATTATGCTTGTAATAAATACGGCTTGGTGCTGGGCAGAAGTTTGCACGGATAGATGGTGCTTCCTCCCAGGTTTTCCAGCCTCCGGATTATCTTGTTCCTTTTTTTTGTGTGCTTTACTTTCTATTGAACTGAACGTTCCTGTCTCAAGATTCGAGATAAAACTTTTTAAAAGACGATTGATTGGAAATGTGTTGAAATTTGCTTGGTTTCAATGTAAACGCGCTATGAGATGTTCCACTCATGGTATTGAAGGTTTGGCACGGCCCCGGCATCGCAAGGCACCGTTAACATCGTCTCCTTGTCATTTCAGCTGGTGTGCCATCCAGTGTGCTTGCTTATTTTCTAGTTGATGCATTTTATTTACAAAGCTAGTCTCTCCCTGGTCGATGCCAACCACAGCTCTGCCCACATCTGCGCCACTTAGTCTTACCTGTTTCTTAATATGGCTTCATGCATCAACTGATGCAGATGCCGGAGGTAATCCTCCTTCCCCCCAAAAAAATTGAACTGTTTCTTCTCTGTGAATCTGGTTCATCATCTCTCAGTGTTTCCTCTTGGAGATGATGGCCACACTTTAATTATGTGCGTATTGAGGCTTGGTCGTGCCCAGGAGTTTGCACTCAAAGATATAGTGCCTTGCTCCTTCCTCCCAGCTTGTCCAAGTGTTCGGTCTCATCTGTTTTTTGTTGTTGTTTGCTGTTTACTCTGTTTCGGGTGTTGGAGTATCTAAACGCACCCAACCTGTTCGACTAATTGACTAGTACTCGTTCTTGGCAAAACCGAGTTTGCTGTCGTGTCCACTCCACTCTCATAGTGATGGCTGAGGGGGATCCGTCACTACGTCGGCCTGAACTTTTCATTGATGGTAACAGGAAAAGACGTCATACAAGGTTTAAATACGAAGATGACAGAAAAGAAAGTGAACAGGGAAACAAGCGGCTAGATGAAACAACATTGTGCGCCAGTCTCGAAGAAGAGCCTAGCGGACTAGGGTCCTCCACTATGATATGCTTTGTTGTTGTGTTTGTCAAAATCTGATCTATGTTGGTTAATCCTTCTATGAAGAAATCAACTTGTTTTTTTCTCTTTCAGAGAAAACTTTTTATTTTGATTGCCTCTGTGTGTTTCGGCTAAAGAAAAGCCCAGAATAGTGAGACTCGGTCGAATGCATAACCACCACCAAAATATATTCAGCCCATAACTAACATTAGCTCATCCTTTTTCGACAAAGGGTGGATTTTATTAGCTCAAAATGGAGCATCATGTGATACAAACACAATGAGCACACATTCAGCCTCTGCATAGTTAGGATGCACACAGCCAACCCCAACTGACATAAAAAAAACACCGACAATTAGCAAAGTCAAACATGACCAAAGCTATGCCTTAGTGGAGCAAAAAGAAAAATAAAAACTCCAAAGCAATCAAGCCAGAGATCACAATCTACAACAGCAACCATATCTGCACGAACCATCCACTACTAGGGAAAACACTATACACAGAGGTATAGCAGTAGCGTTGGTCAAAACTCGGCGCTAGCGCTACTTAGTAGTAGCGCTTGTTGCAAAACCACGCTACAATCATTATTTTAGCAGTAGCGCGTCTTCACAGAAAAGCGCTACTACTAAAATTCTCTCACTAGTGCCGGTAGGCTAGGAATAGTAGCAGCGCTTCTCCCAGAAGCACGCTACTGCTAAAAACATTGTAGCAGCGCGTTTCTTCTTTACAGCGCTACTGCTATGTAAAAGAAAATAAATAGAAAAATAAGTAGAAAAGTAAATGAAAATGAAAGAAATAGAAAAAGGAGAAATGAAAAAAAGAAAATGTAAAGAAAACAAAAGAAAAAGAAAAAGAAAACAGAAAGGGTTAGCTGCAGCACGTTTTTCTGAAACACGCTATAGCTATCTTAGCTATAGCGCGTTTCAGCAAAACGCGCTGCTGCTAGTTTGACTCAAATCCCGGCGGCCCTGGCTCAAAATTTTGCTAAGTCCTTTCCCCTCCTCTCTACTCCCCCCTGTCCCCCAACTGCTCCATCGCCGCCGTTGCCCTGCCGCGCGCCTTCGACCACACTGCCGCCGCCCGCCGCCGAGGCCGCCTTCGACCACACCGCCGCCGCCCGCCGTCTTCGACCACACCGCCGCCGCCCAAGGCCGCCCCCTCTGTTGGGGAACGTTGCAGAAAATAAAAAAATTTCCTACGGTTTCACCAAGATCCATCTATGAGTTCATCTAGCAACGAGTCATGGGAGAGTGATTGCCTCTACATACCACTTGTAGATCGCGTGCGGAAGCGTTCAATGGAACGGGGATGATGGAGTCGTACTCGCCGTGATTCAGATCACCGATGACCTAGTGCTGAACGGACAGCACCTCCGCATTCAACACACGTACGGAGCGGATGACGTCTCCTCCTTCTTGATCCAGCAAGGGGGAAGGAGAGGTTGATGATGATCCAGCAGCACGACGGCGTGGTGGTGGATGCAGCAGAACTCCGGCAGGGCTTCGCTAAGCAACTACGGGAGGAGGAGGAGGTGTTGCAGGGAGGAGGGAGGCGCCAGGGCTTATGGGTGCGGCCACCCCTCCCTCCCCTCCCTTTATATAGGTGCAAGAGAGGGGGGGAGGGCGCAGCCTTGCCCCTTCCTCCAAGGAAGGGGTGTGGCCAAGAGGGGGGAGGAGTCCATCCTCCCCAAGGCATCTTGGAGGTGCCTTCCCCCTTTAGGACACTCCCCTTTTTCTTATATCTTGGCGCATGGGCCTCTTGGGGCTGGTGCCCTTGGCCCATATAGGCCAAGGCGCACCCCCTACAGCCCATGTGGCCCCCCGGAGCAGGTGGACCCCCCCGATGGACCCCCGGACCCCTTTCGGCACTCCCGGTACAATACCGATAATGCGCGAAACTTTTCCGGCGACCAAAATAAGACTTCCTATACATAAATCTTTACCTCCGGACCATTCCGGAACTCCTCGTGACGTCCGGGATCTCATCCGGGACTCCGGACAACATTCGGTTTGCTGCATACTCATATTCATACAACCCTAGCGTCACCGAACCTTAAGTGTGTAGACCCTACGGGTTCGAGAGACATGCAGACATAACCGAGATGGCTCTCGGGCAATAACCAACAGCGGGATCTGGATACCCATGTTGGCTCCCACATGCTCCTCGATGATATCATCGGATGAACCACGATGTTGAGGATTCAATCAACCCCGTATACTATTCCCTTTGTCAATCGGTATTTTACTTGCCCGAGATTCGATCGTCGGTATCCCAATACCTCGTTCAATCTCGTTGCCGGCAAGTCACTTTACTCGTACCATAATGCATGATCCCGTGACCAAACACTTGGTCGCTTTGAGCTCATTATGATGATGCACTACCGAGTGGGCCCAGTGAAACCTCTCCGTCATACGGAGTGACAAATCCCAGTCTCGATTCGTGTCAACCCAACAGACACTTTTGGAGATACCTGTAATGCACCTTTATAGTCACCCAGTTATGTTGTGACGTTTGGTACACCCAAAGCACTCCTACGGTATCCGGGAGTTACACGATCTCATGGTCTAAGGAAGAGATACTTGACATTGGAAAAGCTCTAGCAAAACGAACTACACGATCTTGTGCTATGCTTAGGATTGGGTCTTGTCTATCACATCATTCTCCTAATGATGTGATCCCGTTATCAATGACATCCAATGTCCATAGTCAGGAAACCATGACTATCTGTTGATCAACGAGCTAGTCAACTAGAGGCTCACTAGGGACATATTGTGGTCTATGTATTCACACGTGTATTACGATTTCCGGATAATACAATTATAGCATGAATAAAAGACAATTATCATGAGCAAGGAAATATAATAATAATAATACTTTTATTATTGCCTCTAGGGCATATTTCCAACAGTCTCCCACTTGCACTAGAGTCAGTAATCTAGTTACATTGTGATGAATCGAACACCCATAGAGTTCTGGTGTTGATCATGTTTTGCTCGCGTAAGAGGTTTAGTCAACGGATCTGCGACATTCAGATCCGTATGCACTTTGCAAATTTCTATGTCCCCATCTTGAACATTTTCACCAATGGAGTTGAAGCGACGCTTGATGTGCCTGGTCTTCTTGTGAAACCTGGGCTCCTTGGCAAGTGCAATAGCTCCAGTGTTGTCACAGAAGAGTTTGATCGGCTCCGACGCATTGGGTATGACTCCTAGGTCGATGATGAACTCCTTCACCCAAATTGCTTCATGTGCTGCCTCCGAGGCTGCCATGTACTCCGCTTCACATGTAGATCCCGCCACGACGCTTTGCTTACAGCTGCACCAGCTTACTGCTCCACCATTTAACATATACACATATCCGGTTTGTGACTTTGAGTCATCCAGATCTGTGTTGAAGCTAGCATCGACGTAACCCTTTACGATGAGCTCTTCGTCACCTCCATAAACGAGAAACATGTACTTTGTCCTTTTCAGGTACTTCAGGATATTCTTGACCGCTGTCCAGTGTTCTTTGCCGGGATTACTTTGGTACCTTCCTACCAAACTTACGACAAGGTTTACATCAGGTCTGGTACACAGCATGGCATACATAATAGAACCTATGGCCGAGGCATAGGGGATGACACTCATCTCTTCTTTATCTTTTGCCGTGGTCGGGCATTGAGCCGAGCTCAATTTCACACCTTGCAAAATAGGCAAGAACCCTTTCTTGGACTGATCCATTTTGAACTTCTTCAAAATCCTATCAAGGTATGTGCTTCGTGAAAGACCTATGAGGCGTCTTGATCTATAAGCAGCTTCTCCAAGGTCCTTCATTGAAA